GCGAAGAGGCAGGGCCCTGTGTGTGGCCCTAACCGAGTTTCAGGTTTTGCCTCAGGGTCTGTGGAAGGGACCGAATAAACTCAGGAAACTGGACTCCGAAGTTCTAATTCAGCCACTCTCCAGCGTGTGACCTTGATTCTGTCACTTTTCTCTAAGCCTCCGTTTCTCTGCGTTAGGTGAGGATGGTGTTGGAAAGGTCATGACAAGTAGTTGGTGTGGAAGGATGGTCACCACCAGACGCAGTGCACAGGGCAGAGCCTCGCTGCTGTTCTGACTTCTGGATCACCACTGGTGCCTCTTCCAGGAAGCTAAGGCACACGTCCCCAGTGTTTCATTGTCATAGGGAATACCCTGAGAGACATAGGGGAATCTTCCTGGCCTCAGGGAACTCACAGTCTAAGGAGAGGAGACTAGCAGAAAGAAGGTGGGCTGAGGAGGGCCTGGGGCCCTCTTCCGTCTCAATAGCTTGATAAAGAGTCAGACTTCCCATTTGCCCCGAAAAGGAGGGTCAGACCTTGGAGCTAGGCTACTCTGGTTTAAATCTCACTGTTATGACTGACCAAACCAGTAACCTCGTGTGCTTTAGCCTCTGCATCTGCCTTGGGAGTTCCTGCCCTTGAGGGAGGCTGTTCAGCCTCACCCATCCGTGCAAAGCTCCTAATACACTCATAGCGTGCGGGCTGAGTGCTAGTGTTCACTGCTGCGCTAACCGAAGGGCAGAATGCGGAAATGCAGTCCTGCGTCAATTGAGCACCTCGAGCTGGCCCAGGGATTTTATTTCACGCTCACTCGTACACGTGGAAAGCTGCACCTTAAGGAAAAAGAATAGTAAAGTCTTCACTATTTCTAGGCGATTCCTCCACCCTTAAGCCACGTGCCCACCCCATTACATGTCTTTAATATGTTCACAACAGGTGTACTTCGTGTCTCTCGGTGCCAGGCAGCTCTGACTTGAATGTGTTCCGTTCCCACTGGCTTGAACCCCAGGTACATGCATGACTGTCCCTTTGGGCAGCTTGTACTAATATTGTTAGCAAAAAGACCAATAAAAGTGAGTAGGTCCCTTTGTACCACCAGTGGTTCAAGCCAGCGGGAACGTGTTAATGTCAAAAGGGTGGGTGGGAGCAGCGCATCGTTCTTAGAAGGTGCATCTCTCTGGGGTTGGCCTGGCCAGGCCCTTCTCTCCTGTCTTTGGACAGTTCGGGAGAAGAACCCTGTGATTGTAGACGGATGTCAGCTCAGCTAAGGGACAGTCAAGGACCAACAGGCTGTGTTGTGGAGAGAGAGCTGTCTTGCCAGAGTCAGTGCTGGAGGCACGAGAGGGAGCAGCAAGGAGAGTTAAGGCTGGAAAAGTCACAGCCCACTCGGGAGGGAGGGGCTTCGTCCTGTGGGCAGCGTGGAGCAGTGGAAGGGAGTGTTGAGTGGTGGAGGGCTGCGCTGAGCCAGTCCTAGGGAGATGGCATGCCTCCCTTCTGCCCCCTGGAAGTTCAAGGACCACCTCGTGCCCTCCCCTCACCCTCAGAGGAGGTCAGGAATTGGGCTGGGCTGGCCTGGCTGTGGTGACCCCGGTCTTCTCCCGTCTCCAGAGAGATCTTGGTAGAAGAGAGTAACGTGCAGAGGGTGGACTCGCCAGTCACAGTGAGTACTGTCCGCCCTGGCAGAGCCTGCCTTGGTCTTTAGGCACGTGGACATTCCCCTTACTGGCCCCACATGTCCACTTCTTATTCCTGCAAGCCAGAAGTCCCCTTAGCTCTGACAGCTCCCCACCTACCCTGTAAGAAAGGGAAGCTTGGAGGCTGTTTCAGTAATTGTTCTTCGTACCTTGATGGCAGCGGGGGTGGGGGCAGGTCCCGCGGGAGATGTCAGTCTCTGGAAAGAGGTCCCTTTGGCTCCTGCCCAGAGTCGTCGGGTCTCAGTGTGGGATGGCGGGTGATGCCGAGCAGGCTAACTTGAAGGAGGGGAGTAGACTTGAACTGAGACTTAGCCACGTAGCCAGAACCATGAGGCTCTCGAAAGCTAGTTCCTGGGAACAGAGGGACTGTCCCTTTGTCTGCTCTGAGTGCCAGCCCACCTTCTGCCTCCCAGGTGTGTGGTGACATCCATGGACAGTTCTATGACCTCAAGGAGCTGTTCAGAGTGAGTGCGGGGAAGCACGTGGAGGTGGACATGGCCCAGGGCGGCTGGGAGATCCACTTAGTCGGCACGGAGGAGGCAGGAGGCCCCTGGTTGGGAGGACTTTCGTGAGAGTAGGCTCTCAGCTGGATGGGGCATGGGCAACTGCAGTGGGGAAGGGGCTGTTGAGGACCAAGCAGAACCTTTCCCTTCCACAGGTGGGTGGCGATGTCCCTGAGACCAACTACCTCTTCATGGGGGACTTTGTAGACCGGGGTTTCTACAGCGTGGAAACCTTCCTCCTGCTGCTGGCGTTGAAGGTGGGAACTCCTGGCCTCTGGAACCTGCCCTGGGCCACTGCGGGCCACTCTCCTCTGACCCCTGCTTTGGAGCTGTGCTACAAGAGATCAGTACCTTGCCTAGGGACAGGGAGACAAGGCCAGTGGGACAGGTCCTGCCAGAGGGTGCAGATAGACCTGCTGTATTCAAGAAGGGGCAGCTGTGGGGACTGCCGAATGTAACATGCATTGGTGAAGTGGGGTGGAGAGGGCGAAGCGGGGTGGAGAGGTCCCTGGATGTCTTTGAGGACTTGGGTCTGTCCGGCGGGTGAAAGTGGGGCCTCTAGTTTTGTAGTTAAGGGTTGGGGGCAAGATTTGCTTCCTGTGGAGGCACTGGGGGCCCGGGAGGCAGATGGCACAGCTTGATTCGGGCAGGAGGTAACGAGTCTGGGCTGGGACAGCACTTCCAAGGCCTGAGTGAGACTGGCAGATGTGTGGGGGCTTGGGAGGGGAAATAGGTGAAACAGCCCAGCCCCCAGCGCTGGCTTGGTGACCCCCAGGTTCGCTATCCTGACCGTATCACCCTGATCCGGGGCAACCATGAAAGCCGCCAGATCACCCAAGTCTATGGTTTCTATGACGAGTGCCTGCGCAAATATGGCTCGGTGACCGTGTGGCGCTACTGCACTGAGATCTTTGACTACCTCAGCCTGTCGGCCATCATTGATGGCAAGGTAGGTGGCCACAGGACTTCTCGGGGTGGAATGATGGGAGCGGCTCTGGGCCTCTGCCTCCCTCCTGGCTGGCCTTGCTCTTCTTTCTAGATCTTCTGTGTGCACGGGGGTCTCTCGCCCTCCATCCAGACCCTGGACCAGATCCGGACAATTGACCGAAAGCAAGAGGTGCCTCACGACGGGCCCATGTGTGACCTCCTCTGGTCCGACCCTGAAGGTAAAGGCGGGTAGGCGGGGCAGGACCCACCCACTCGGGACTGATTAAAGCAAGTACCTGGAAGGGACAGTCAGGCCAAGGGAGTTAGTTCAGGGAGGGGCAGGGCAGGGCTGGTCCACACTGGCTCTCCTGAAGGGCATAGAAGCGGAGGTGGCAGGATGCTGGAGCTCAGCCAGGGATGAGAGCGTGCTGGTCCTGGCTCACACTGCTGCCTGGGACAGAGTTACTGGCTCCCTGCATGGGAAGAGCCTCAGAACCCAACAGTTCTTCAGAGGTCAGGTGCCCAGAGTGCTAGCTCCCTGGGGATTATTCTGTGGGATTCCCCTCCGGTATGGAGCAGAGCTGAGATTTGAGGCCAGGTCTCCTGAGTTCTCATCCAGGGCACCCCCTCCCCTCCATCACTGCCACTCCGGAGTGCTTCGTTGTGGCATAGGGCAGTTGTGGTGAACCTGTGGTGAGCATGTTATTTTTATGACAAAAGATGTTGCCAGGTGTGGTGGTACATGCCTGTAATCCCAGCACTCGGAAGGCTGAGGCAGGAGGATTGTCTCAAGTTCAAGACCAGCCTGGGCTACAAAGTGAGCTCAAGGGCAGCCTGAACTGCATAGCGAGACCCTGTCTCAAAAAGACAAAAAGATAGAAAGATGTTAATGTGTAAGTTTTTTTTTTTTACTAAATTAAAACTTCAGTATTCAGGTTTAATTGCAACGTTGGCAGTTTATGATAAGTAAGTGGGTTTTGGTTTGCAGGTTGGACCTTAGTCCCTAAAAGGTTTGCCATCACTGGCATAGTTTGGCCAGGAAGTCCTCGCCACACCTGATCCTGCTGGTGTGCAGGGTGAGGCTGTGCTCGTCCTGTCCCCCAGAACCTCCTGGGACATACTCTTCTCATGCTTTTGTCCACAGGCCTCTGGTTGACGGGGATGGGGGACAGATGGTTCCCTTCCAGGGGTGGTGGGCAGCCAGAGAACCCTTGAGGTCCTGCTCTCATCTGTGCTCTATCTGCCTTAGACACGACAGGCTGGGGCGTGAGCCCCCGAGGGGCTGGCTACCTATTTGGCAGTGACGTGGTGGCCCAGTTTAACGCAGCCAACGACATTGACATGATCTGCCGTGCCCACCAACTAGTAATGGAGGGGTATAAGTGGCACTTCAATGAGACCGTGCTCACTGTGTGGTCAGCACCCAACTACTGCTACCGGTGAGCTGCCGGGGCCAGGAGGTTGGGTTGGGCATCTAGGCCGACCTGTCCCTAACTGCGATGCCCGCCTCCTCCAGCTGTGGGAATGTGGCAGCCATCTTGGAGCTGGATGAGCATCTCCAGAAGGACTTCATCATCTTCGAGGCCGCTCCCCAGGAGACGCGGGGCATCCCCTCCAAGAAGCCTGTGGCCGATTACTTCCTGTGACCCCTCGGCCCCTGCCCCTCCCAACCTCTCTGGCCCTTGGACCACTGTGACTCTGGCCTCTCCCCAGATGCTGGGGATGGAGGGGCTGTCCCCGGCTGGCTCTCCCTCCAGGGGGCATTTCAAGGGTGAGGACTTTCTCTGGAGAGGGTGGAGCCTTCATACCACGCTCCTCCTCTCCTTTCTCCCCACTTGAACCATGAAGTTTCCAGTAATTTTTTGTTTTCTTTTTTCCTTTTTTTTTTTTTTTTTTGTTTTGTTTTTAGATAAAAGTTTTGAGAAAAAAAGAAAAAAAATTCTAATAAAAGAAGAAAAATGATATTCAGGCTCATGTCAGATTTGGTCGGGAGAGGGCAGAGACACTGGCCTGGGAGCCGGATGGGAGAGCCGGGACTGCCTCAGCCCCAGTCCTTCGAGGAAGGCGGGGCCCAGGCCTGGCCCGCTCCCTACAGGCCGCCTCAGGACTGGGCAGAGGCAGGCTCTTGAGGGCAGCCTCAATTCTCAGAACACCTAGCGTTTCCAGATCCCTAGTTTTCCTGAAGAGGAAGCCAGCCTGGAGCAGGTTGAAGGTTGACGGAGCAGCGCAAGGTCATGCAGCCCGGAACCTGGCAGTTGGGCCTGGGGCTCCCTGTAAGGCCTTGCCCCTCCCCCGCCCCTTCCCAGGGTCAACACCATGAGCTCAACATTTCCTGAGCGCTGATGCCTTTTGAGTTTTATTAACAAAAATGCTCTGGTCCTGAGAACAAACTGGTACGGCTTGCAGTAGTGGGGAGGGAGGCCCCAGGAGGTGCTGGCTGTGGCCCCATTTGGCCAGGCAGAGCCTCCCTCCATTCACACCGAGGTGAGAGCCGGGTAGGGGAAGCTGGCCCCAGCTGGACTTCCAGCAGCCTTGCCTGAGCTTTGAAGCCAGAGGAGGGTGGGAGTGAAATCAAGGTGTGAAGCGGGGGGCTGGCCTAAGGCAGCCATTTGGTGTGGGGGATGGGGCCGTGGAATGAGGGGCTATGGGGCTGGGGGAAGGGAACGGAGGTTTGTGATGAGAAGTAGAGGCCCAGTGGCCCTGTGACAGCTCAGTACATAGGCTTGGAGCCCACATCCAGGTAACCGCCAGGACCTGGGTATGGTAGGGGGAAGGGGCTCCCCTGCAGGAAGTGCGGGGCGAAGGACGCGGCAGGTGGAGCTGCTGGGTAGCCTGAGCTCCCCGCTCCGGGCTGCAGCTCCAAGAACGCAGCTGCGTAGGGGGCCGGGCGTCCAGAGTCCGGAGCCTCCTGGAAACTGGGGTTCCTGAAGCAGAGACATGTGTCAAGGCAGGCGAACCCTCCCCTCCTCAGGGAACAAGCTCAGGGAACAAGCCAGCTTTGTGTCCTTGTCCGGCTCACCTGGTTGGCAGGTGGCCTGGGGCCCCGTGGAAAGCTGCGGGGTGCAGGAGGTAGGCCTCAGCACTAGGGCCACTGCAAGGAGGAGCTGGGGCAGGGGCAGCTTCCCGGGGGGCTGGGGCCTGCTCTGCATCTGACTCACGAATGTCCCCTCCCAGGGTGGAGTCGCAGGGACCCCCTGGTGTATCTGGGGAGACAAATAGGATAGGTTGGGCTAAGGAGGATCAGCGTCTCAGGCCTCGCCCCATCGCCACTGGGACAGTGCTCACCTCCACTCCCATAGGCCTCTGTGGCTACCGGGTCCGAGCTCCGAAGTTTCCTCTTCACGCGGGCATCTCGCTCCCTGAGGAACAGCAGTGACCATGATGGTGATGGTGGTGATGACGGTACTAGTAGTACTTAGCAGGCGCCAGGCGTTTCACCCTCCCAGGGACCCTACCAGGTAGGTGTCATTATCATACCCATTTCACAGATGAAGGAACTGAAGGCCAGAGCATTAAGCAATTCAAAAGTAGCAGGTCTGGGGTTCGTCCTCCACTCATACTTCTCCATGGTTTCCTACCACATTTGCTATCAGACGAACCTCCCCCAGGCCCATCACACTCCACCCCATCTCCATTATCTGCCTTTTGCCTCTCTGGAAGCTTCTTTCCCCTCTATACCCGCTTGACTCACCCTGCTCACATCCTCAGGAAAGACCTCCCAACCTCCAGCAGTGCCGCACACCGCACCTCATGGCATTTCTCGCAGACCCACTTTCCCATTGGATCAGCGATCCAGTGGTTCACGTCTGTATCTGCTGACGTCGTGAGCTCCCCAAAGGCAGGGGTCAGCTCCAAGGGGCCCAAGTTCTTGCTAGGCCTTCCTGCTTCCCATCACCTCCCACACTTGCCTCGCCCCAGGGGCACCCCTGGCATAGTCATGCCGCACATGCGGTTTCACTCCCTGGCATGACTTCCCCCAGCTCTCCACCTGGCTCCCTCCTTACCCAATGTCCTCTGCTCAAGGAGGCCTTTCTAGGTCACTACTAATACTGCCCTCCAATCCTTCCTATCCTTCCCTCTTTTTTGTTTTGTTTTTTTTTTTTCAGACAAGGTCTCACTATGCAGTTCAGGCTGGCCTTGAACTCACTATGTAGCCCAGGCCGGCCTCAAACTTGCTGCGATCCTCCTGCTTCGGCCTCCAAGTGCTGGGATTACAGGTGTGCACCACCCACTTTATTTCTCCTGACTTTAAGAGTCGCATGCTTCTGACTTTAGAACTTGTCTCTAAATATGTTATTTTTCTCGTTTTCTTGTCCACTCTCCCCAGTTCCTTGAGGACATGTTGAGCTTTGGTTTGCTTTGTTCACCAACATCTCCAATGCCTAGAATGGTGCCTGGCACACAGCAGGTACTAAGTAGTAAATAAGCACTTGCTGAATCAGTGAGTAAGTCAATGCCTTCACTGAGGGTCATGTTCCTGGTACGCAGCACAGTGGCTGGTACATGGGGACCAGTTAGTGAACATTTGTTGAGTGAATGAGCACATGAACGGAAGATGCCCACCTCTTACAGTTCCTGCCATTCTCCCGGAAGCCTTTGGCAAAGGGATTGGCGGCAATCTTCAGTTGTGTGATCTGGGGGCAGACAACCAGGTGAAAGTGATGGTGGCCTGGGTAGGGCACCACCACCCCCTCGAGCGCGGTCACTCACCCGTGGGTTCTGGTAGGCTGTCACAGAGATGAATGTGGTCTCAGGGAAGCGGAAGGAGGCCACGCCCCCCCAGTGCTGACTGCACAGCTGGGCAGCCCGCACCAGGTGTATGCGGGGCTGGTACTTGTGCATGGAGTGCAAGATCAGCTGGGAGGGAAGAAGTGGGGTGATTCCCTGCCCTGGGCCCCAACAGCCTTAGCCTTCTTTTTCTTATCTTTTTGAGACAGGGTCTCACTGTGCAGTTCAGGCTGGCCTTGAGCTCACTTTGTGGCCCAGGCTGGCCTCGAACTCGCAACAATCCTCCTGCCTCAGCCTCCTGAGTGCTGGGATTACAGGCGTGCACCACCACACTCGGCTAAGCCTTAGCCTTCCACCCCGCTGCACCCCGCTGCCACCTCTCTCCCGGGGTCCCAGCCTGGGCCTCACATGGCCGTGGGGGTCCAGCGTGCTGTTGGTGAGCTTGACACGATGGAAGGACACAGGCTGCCGCATCCAGTGGGCACCAGTGGCAGGAGAGTCAGGGTGGATGTAGACTCGGTCAGGCAGGCGGGGCTCTGCCTTGCCGCTGGGCTCCCAGCGCCGACCCTGCCAGCGGTAGCGAGCGCCATCCACCGGCACCACGTCCAGAAGGAACAGGTAACGGGCCTCAGGGTCCAGGCCAGTGACTGACACCCGGCAAGCAGGGAACATGCGTCTGCACAGGGACGAGAGGGAGGGCAGAGGCCTGGAGCGGCACTGGCCAGAGGCAGGCTCAGCACAGCGAGGGGGCTGGCAACAGGTCTGCCAGAGAAACATGAGGAAGGTGGCATTAGAACCCAGAGGGCAGAAGCTTAGGGCTGGAGGGCTTCTCATTCCGTTCCACAGAGAGAAACAGAACCAGCAGGTTAGGGGACCTGACTGGGGTCACACAGCGGGTTAGGAGCAGAGCCGGGCTCCTGACCCCTAGCTCCTCAAACTATCTGCAAAAGCAGTGGCGACTAACTTTGCTTCCTGAAATCTTGCTAGGAGCTTCTTGGGCCCTATCCTAGCCCCCTCACTTATTCTCCACAGCTGTTAAACAAATTTATTGCAGAAAAAATAGGCCCTGAGCTGGGATGCCTGTAATGCCAGCACTGAGAGGCTGAAGCAGGAGGATCACAAGTTCAAATCCCACCCGGGCAATTTAGCAAGACCCTGTAGTAGTAGAAGTAGTAGTGGTAGTAGTAATATATGTAGCTGGGGATGTAGTTCCGCAGTGGAGCAGCTGTGGGTTCAATCCTCAGCAGCCCGCCCCCGCCAAGGCCTTGCCTTCAGTGGGGCAGAGGATTTACTGTGCTAGGGCCTGAGCTCTGGCCCTAGATAAAGTCCTTACTACAGGCTATACACTGACCGCTTCCTTGCCACTGGGGTGAGCTTGGAACTTAGTCACAGACTGATTCCTACTCAAGTCATACACTGACCCCGGGTCCCGGCCAGATTTCCCTGATGCTGATCACTTCCTGAACCTTGGAAGTTTGAACCCAGATTCCAGCCACAGACGAACCCCTGATCTAGGCCATCTACTAATCTATAACCCAGTCAACCTTCCTGACCCTGATGTACACTGACCTATGACCCTTGGTAGACTGGCCTCTAAATCCAGTGTCAGACTCCACAGCCTGACCCTTGACCTGCCACGGAATGACTTCTGAGTCCATCCACAGTCGCCAGTTTCCCAGGCAGCAGCGACCAAACTGTGGCAGAGCTCTGGCCCTAGAGAAACCCCCGAGCCTAGCCCCATCCCAGGAACGGTGCTTTCCCTGGGACCGCGGCCCAGACTCTGACCTGGCCAGCCCTCACCTGCCAGCTTTGGTGATGATCATCTCCGTCCCCACAGCGCTGAACTCCTTCCACAGCTCCTGGTTCTCCAGGCTCAGGCTGACCCCAGGGAGCGAGCGAAGGGCCTCTGCAGCTGGCAGGGCTGGCTCAGCGCCCAGGGTGGGGGGCAGAAGGGGCAGAGGTGCGGGTGCAGCCAGAGTGCGTGGTGCAGTTTCAATCCCAGAGAGGTAGCAGTCCAGTTTGGGGGTGTCTAGATCTGGAGATGTGGGAAGAATGAGGCGGCGGCCCGGGGTCACACCCCCCAGGCCCCCCAGGCAGGAGCTGGTCCCACAGCTCACCCGGATAGCGGTAGCCCTCTGCCAGGGCAGTAGGGAAGCTGGAGTCGGCCCCAGATTGGGGGGGCCCCAGACGGTAGCCGGTCCCCAGGGATGGGTACAACTCTCGAGGATGGTACATGCTGTAGTCCTGCTGGGCTCTCAGGTCACGCTGCCTGGAGTCCCCAAGTGCTGAGAGATGCCCCTTTATAGCTCACAGCTCAGCCCCTTGCAGACCCGGGATCACAGCCCCTCCCCTCTTTGGGGCCCTGGAGGTGGACTGGAGTGAAGATCCCTGGGGCCTCGAAGGGATCCGAGAGGGGGCCGGATACCTGGGTACCCTCCCCCCTCCTCCTTGGGCGACTTCATTAGTCCCGACCCCCTGCCCCCTCATTACATAATTAACTCTTCGGCTTGATTGATCCCCAGGGCTTGGACAGAAACGCAGTTTGGCGCTTCCGGCCAGCTGGTCCCCGTTCCCACGGGGGGAGCCCCGGTTAAGGATAAGCTGCGGGGGCGGGGCCGGGGCCCTGGGACCAAGCCTGGGGTCCTGGGGTCGACCCTAGAGTTCCAGACTTTCTGGTAGGTCTTCTTCACTTGGAGAACTGATCCTAGAGGAAAGATTCGTAACTGGAGGGAAGTGTAGGGTTGGAAGACCCTGGCCTGAGCTTATTACACGGGACGCTGGGGACGTCGAGGAGTCCGCAGCAGAGGACTGAATGCTGGCATTCTCCCTGGTTCCCATTCTGAAAAAACCTGCACCCTCTACCAAGCCTCAAAAGTTACAGGGCGCGCCCTACACAACCGCCCCCTACGTCTCCCGCGGGGTTGCAGTGGGACCGTGCCGGCAATCCCTGGGACTGCATTTCCCAGTAGGCCCCGCACCCAAGCGGGAAAAGGAGACCAGCAGACCGCGCAAGCGCCGTTGGGAGTCGTAGTCAGCGAACCCGGAGACCTCCCCGAGCTGCCCCTAGGCGGCGTCCTAGCACTAAAGCCAGGAAGATGCAGATCAGCCGAGGTCAAGGCCTACGGGCCAGTGCAGGCGCCTCGATCTTCACGCCCAGCAGACACCTGGATGGCAGTGCCTGCCCCATGTCCCGCTGAGGCGCAGAGCGGAGCAGGTCTATATATACGGGGCAGGAGTCTAGCTCGGACTTCCCTTTCCCGGATTCCACGCAAGCCTTGGGCTGTCTGCACTCCATCATTTTATTATGTACAAATGCTACAGAACAAGGGGGACAGACACGCGTGGGGTGAAAGGGACCCGTTGGGGGGAGAGTTCACAAGGCAGACGGTGTACTGGGGCCGAGAGCAGCACACAGGCCATATCTTTGGGGCAGGCGGGGCAGGAGAGGGTTAAAAATGAGATCCAAGCCAGCCAGATCGCAGGGAGGTGCAGGGGTGTCGTCCTCCTTCTGATCTGCCCCCAAGGTCACAGTGCATGCAATAAAATATATGTACAGGTGCGGGATCCTTCCTCTGCAAGGGGCCCTGAGGGGTTCAGAGCTCCCTCCAGGCGGAGGGAAGCCAGTGGCGGCCCCTGGCGGCCAGGCCAGGCTGGAGCCACATGAGTCAGGCGCAGGAGTCAGTCCCAGCCGTTGTCTTTGATCATGTGGTTGAGTTCAATGATGTACTTCCCCTCTTTGTACTTCTGGCTGCTCTCAAAAGCCTGCTCCTGAAAGGAGGGGAGGGTCTGTCATCCCAGGGCAAGAGCTCTACCCCAAAGGCCTAAGGAAAAGAATATGACTTGGGAAGAGAATATGACTGGCCCCATTTTACATATGGGTAAACTGTGGCCCAGAGAAATCAAACTACCTGCCACAGACACTGGTAAATAAAAGCTGGTAAATAGCAGGGCTGTGCTTCTGACTAACAAGGAGTGGACAGAGCTGTAAATCACCTTTTGCTGTTGTTGTTGGTTTTTGATGAGACAGGGTCTTACTATGTACCCCAGGCTGGCTTCAAAACTGAGGTGATTCTCCTGTCTCACCTTCTCGAGTGCTGGGATCACAAGCATGCGCCACCACACCTGCCTTACCTCATGTTTAATGTTTTTAAACATTAACGACTGCTCCAACAGAGAGGATATGGGAATGCCTAAGAGATTTCATAGTCTAGGGATCGCACACTGGTGGCCTCAGGGCCATTTCAGCCTCCACGTGGTTCTTTCAGACAGCAGAGAGTTTAATAAAAATATCTTTAGGGGCTGGGGATGTAGCTCATCAGTAGGGCACTTGCCTAGCACGCAGGAGGCCCTGGGTTCAATCCCAGCACCACAAAACATTTAAAATACTAAACTACGGGCACGCAGGCTCACTCCTGTTTGCCCTGCCCTGTTCTCCCCACTACCTTCATGTCACCACGTTTACAAATCCACAGTATCTGCTTAGCTTTGCAGGCACTTGGGTTTTAACCTCATAAGGCCACCTCCTTATTTTACTGTACTTCAGAGAAACCATATCACCTATTCAAAGACACACAGCGAATCTGTGGAAGGGCCAGAGGTGAACTCAGATCAGGGCTGTCTGCCTCTGGCATCCACATCAAGAAAGGAGGCACTGCAAGAACAACGGCCAATCCCGTCCCTCGCAGATTCCCAAGAACATCATTGCTACATCTAAACGGATGCCTGCAACAGTCTTGGGAGCCAGGTAGTGGCTTTATTCTCCAATGTCAGATAAAGAAATGAGATGCAGAGTAATGAAGTCAGATCCTGGACAGCAGCAGTAGCAAAAAGAGACACAGAGAAGGAGGCCTGTGGGACCCAAGTCCCATGTTGCTGTCGGGTCCTAGAGAACTTCTCTGATCCTGTGACAAGCTGGTGGCCAATGGTCTGGGGTTAACAAATAAGGCAAATGGAGCCGGGCGTGGTGGCACATGCCTGTAATCCCAGCACTTGGGAGGCTGAGGCAGGAGGATCGTTGCAAGTTCGAGACCAGCCTGGGCTACAAAGTGAGCTCAAGGCCAGCCTGCACTGCAAAGCGAGACCCTGTCTCAAAAAGACGAAAACAAAACAAAACAAAAAAATAAAAAAAACCAAATAAGTCAACTAAGATTCTGGTTCCTATTCTGTTACCAGCTGTGTGATCTCGGGCAAGTTACCTAACATCTCTGGGCTTCCCTGTTTTCTGCAAAACAGATGTCACAGAATCTATCTATATGACTTGGATACGAATATACGCCAAGCAAGTAACTGTCCAGCATGTAAGTATTCACTAAATGGTGACCGTGCATATATCTTCATCTCTAAAATAGGGATGCTAGTGCCTCTGAGGGAAGGGACGGGGTGAAGACAAAAATTCTAAAAGCCTTTGACAGAAGAGGACATGGTTGGGGTAAACATAGCGTGACTTGTCTGTGCTGGGCCTATGCAGTCTGAAAGGTTACTGCGTGACCAATATGAAGGAGAGGTGATGCGAGGTCAGGTCAAAGGTGAGCCTGAGGTCAGAGAGGGCTGACTCACATATTTCCAACCCAATGTAGTCTTGCAGTTCTCGCAGTGGATGTCAGCGACAGCATGAAGGCCGGTCAGCAGCACCCGCTCCTCGGCTGGCCCGCAGCCCACGTTTACCCTGCAGGGACATGGGGCAGTCCCAGGGAGGGTCCTGCCATCACAGACCCCCCTCAACCTTGTGTCTGTCCTTAGCATCCAAGAGAGGGCGAACACAGCTTCCAGCCTGAGCCAGGGGACTCTGGGAGTCTCTGCATAATGCAGGGTCGGCAAAGAAAGGAGCGGGGCCAAATACTCACACAGAGTTGAAGAGGTAGGCGCGCCCCTGACTGCCCTGGAAAGACTGAACGGTAGGGAAGCAGAGAGGGCGGGGTGGTCAGGGCTACTGGTGTGGAGCTGCCGGGAAGCCCCTCGGCCTCCCACTCCAGCCTCATCTGTGGCCTGGTTACCTTGGAGATGAGGTCGTCGTGGTTGGCCAGGTGAGCTCGGCAGTGGGCACAGCTGTACCTTCGGTGACAGTCATCCAAGTAGGCCTGAAACGTCTTGGGCTTTGAAATCCGCACCATGGCGGGGGCCAGGGGCAATGGCCCCACGCGGGGAGCGGCCCACGGGGAGCAGAGGGAGCCCAGTGCCTGCCAGGAAGGGAGTAGGTGGGCTGTCAGGCCCCAGGGCACACGCAGGCAGGCACGCCCAGCACCACGAGGACTCTGTCTGTCACACTCGGCTGCGTGCGCTCTCCTCTCCCTAGGGCCAGCAGCCTCACCAGGGACAAGTCTTAGTTCTGACTCAGTGCTGAGGCCTCAGGTTGCATCAGCGGGGAAACTGAGGCTAGGAGGAGCCCAGGTGAGTCACCCACCTGCTTCCCGGCTCACCCCCGCTGACCTGGTATCTGAAGCTGGAGGAAGGGGCTTTTATTGAATGGGCTGTCAGTTCCCAGTCTAAGGGGAGCATGCGGGTTTAGGAAGTGGGTGGTCCCTAGGACCCCATCTGGACCGTGGGTGGGGCTACTGCGAGGTACAGGGAGTTCACCTGGGGAGAGGGTCCTTTACCTCTTGGCCTCGCTGAAGGTGGTCACCTGGGAGGGTAGGTGCTCTTACCTGGGGCCGTGGGGCCTGCTCTCTGCAAGGGGATCTTACCTGCATCGCGGAGCCTTACCTGAGACGCCAGGGCTCACCTGGGGCGCGGGGTGGGGGGCGGGCGCCGGGGGAAAGGGAGCAGTCTTCGCTGGTGGGGCGGGGGCGCGGGCCTCACCTCGCCTGGGCGGGTGGGGGTCCGATCCGCGGGGTGGCCTGGTCTGGGAGTGGGGGGCGCTCCTGGTGGGCGCCGTCCCCCCTCCCCGGCCGGGTTCGCAGCCGCCTCGACTTGTTTACACCGAGACCAGCTGCGCGGCGGCTGCGGCGGGAGGGGGAGGGGGAGGGGGCCGGCCTCCCGTCCCGGCGGCCGCCGTGGCCAATCCGCGTGGGGCATGCAAATGAGGGGGCGCGTCACCAGGCGGCCAGCGTACGGCCGGGCTGCCCATCCCCCTGCTGTCCGCTCCCGCCCGCCCGGAAATGCGGATGCGGCCCGCAACCCAGCTTAGCAGCCGGGCGGGACGGAGCCTCCTGGTCCCTCTGGCTCGCTGCGGTGCTTGAAGGGGCAAGGGTCCGAGGGCCCATCCCCGACGTGGGTGGAGGAGGAGGATGGCGTCTGGACGCACACCTTCGGGAAGTGATAGTCATAATTATCTGCCTGGATCCAACGCCTCTGCCCTACTCTTAATCCCTGCAGCAATCCTGTAAGGCGGCTTCTCCTATTGTCTCCATTTTAGCAGGGAGTGAGGCCCGAGAGGTCTAGCCCCTCTCCCGAGATCATCAAGCTGGCAAGAAGGAAAGTGGGAATTCTCATTTGGCCCTCTTCCACGGTCTTTGCCATGGCACCAGGAACAGTTAGTTTACCTCTTAGAAGAGACGAGGTGAAAGGTGCCCATTTTGGGTAGGCTCCTGGGAGCTACACCCTTGGAAGAAGCGGATTTCCACTGGTGAACATCACCTCCTCCAGGGAGCGTTCTTTGATGCCCCTACCCTCCAGGATGGGATTGGTCTGGGGCGAAAATGTCTGTTTCCACGTGTCTGCCACACTTAGTCTTTTCGGGTTGACTACAGAGGTCCCAGCCCCGGGCGTGCCCTCGAGTAGGTACTAGGTAATACCCGTGCAACGGGTACATTCCCGAAGTAAGGCTTCAGGACTGAAGGAGGAGACCTGGGGCGGAGAGTGGGCATGGCAGGGAGCAGAGGGCTGTGAACCGTGGCCACCCCCTGCAGCTCAAGAGGCAGCCCATGGGACAAGACATTGGGAAGGAGCCGGGCGTGGTGGCACATGCCTGTAATCCCAGCACTCAGGAGGCTGAGGCAGGAGGACCCTTGCGAGTTCAAGACCAGCCTGGGCTACAAAGTGAGCTCAAGGCCAGCCTGAACTGCATAGTGAGACCCTGTCTCAAAACAAAAAACAAAAACTGAAAAACAAAAACAAAGACATGGGGAAGGAGAATGGAACAAACATTTGTGGCTCTTGAGAGGTTGAGGCCCAGGACAGCAGGGTTGGCTCTGCAAGGGACATTCCTGAGAACCAGAGGCCAGACTGGCACAGGGTGTGGTGTGACTCCTGGGCTGGAATGCAGTGGAACAAGTGGCCGGGCTGGCCCCATTTGCCCAGGCGGCCAGCTGTAGTCCTCCAACAGCCACCCTCTTCCCCTCGCTGCAAGCACAACTCTGTGACCGAGAAGAAAGTATTTATTTTTCAGGAAGAAAAACAGAGGAGGCCTCGGCCTTAGGAGGCCTGGGCTGGTACTCCATGGGTATCCAGGTACCGTCTCAGGGCTGTCGGATAATCGGTCATGACCCCGGTGGCCCCTAGGTTGAAGGCCACTTCAAAATCTGACTCTTCATTGAGGCACCAAAATATCACCTGATCAGGGAGAGAAGCGCTTGAAGAGTTTCCAAATCATTTTACCCGGACCTTCTTACACCCAAGATGCTGGGCACTCCCTTCTCACTCTGTGGAGACCTCCCTGTAGCGAAATGCTGGAACTTATTATTAACTTTTCAGGAATTCTGCAAACTGGTTATTTCACAGCCATTATTAAAAATTAAATTGAGCTGGGTGTGGTGGCCTATGCTGATACTCCCAGTGCTCAGGGAGGCTGAGGCAAGAGGATCACAAGTTGAAGCACCACCTGGCTGATTTTGTGACTAAGACCCTGTCTCTAAATAAAGAAGTTTTTAAAAGCCTGGGGATGTAGTTCCGTGCAAAGGCCCTGGGTTCAACCCTCTCCTCATAACAATGATTTTTTTTTTTTTTAATTCCTGAATCTTTTTTTTTTGGTACTGGGAATCGAATTCAGGACCTTGCGCTTGCCAGGCAGCTGCCTGTACCACTGAGCTGTAGCCCCAACACTGAATAAAAAAGCAGCTTACAATGAAAGAAATTGTATTAGAAAATACTCAAAACTTAACGTTTTCCGATTATTTTACTGCCTTTTACCATTTCCTACACTCTTCAGCTTATGTTGTGTCTGCTGAGTCTGTGAGGTAAAAATGAGGCACGGTGGGGCGCTACCACACATCTCTTTCCAGTTCTGCATTTAGTGACTTCACCCTGGCAGCGCGAAACTGACTGAGGTGGTAGTGTAAAAGCCAGGGAAAGTAATGCTCCAGCCAGGGCTCTGCCTTTTCCTCCCAGGCAGTGGGCTGTTGACCATTTCCCAGCTCCACGCTTCCCAGCCTGCCCCAGTCCCTGCCGCTCGGGGCCTTCCCTGCCCTGCTTCTCCGAGGGCACAAAGGCAGGTGGAGATGATCGTTTATTCTAGGCAACCACTGCACCTCTCTAGTTCTCAGCTTGGCAACTAAGGTTATGGTGCAACCTCACAAAGTTTTGAAAATCCAGTGTGAGACGGCTGATCAGAAAGAGCGTTTTTTTTCCGTCTTTTTCAGGCTGGCCTTGAGCACACTTTGTAGCCCAAACTGTTCTTGAACTTGCAACAATCCTCCTGCCTTAGCCTCCGCAGTGCTGGGATTACGGACATGTGCCACCATGCCCGACTTGTCTTTTTGAGACAGGGTCTCGCTATGCAGTTCAGGCTGGCCTTGAGCTCACTTTGTAGCCCAGGCTGGTCTTGAACTTTCAAAGATCCTCCTGCCTCAGCCTCCCGAGTGCTGGGATTGCAGACATGCACCACCATGCCGGGCTGATCAGTGTTGCCACTCCAATGCCTCTCTCACTCCAGCATCTGTCAGTAGCCAAGTCCTGGTCTCTCTGAGTTCGCCACCCCCACCCCCACTGCTACCGAGACCCAGCTTTCACACTAAGCCTGCCCCTTCCCCACATGGCGGTCTGCGCGACTGTCCCGCAGCGCGCTGGGACCAGCCCTCCCCTGCTGAAGACTCTCAAGGCTTCCTGCCCCTGTGGGCTACAGCCCACGTTCTCTTCGGAGGTCAGTGGGGCTGCCTGCCTTGGCCTATGCTGCTGCCTCCGCGCTGTGGCCTGGAGACCTTCCCAGTGCCTCTGCAGCAGTGGCACCCCCTGCCTGAGATGTGCTCCCTCCCCAGCCGTCCCTGGGCTGCTCCCAGCTCATTTCTCCCAGACCCCACAGCCCTGTCAGTGAGCCATGGCCGGTTTCATTTCCTTCCCCTGCCCTTGGTGGTGGGGACTTTCTCTACATTTGCTAATTAAACGACCTGGGCGTAGCCAATGCTCAGGACAGGAGGGTGGGCTGCCGGGCCGGTGTCCCCCTCCCCCGGGGCCAGGACAGTGGGCTCACGGTGTCCGCATCTTCAGAATGGCTAACATTTACCCAGCCCTCACTGAGCAACAGCTACGCATCCAGAGGAGTTATGTGAACCAGTGTTCCCATCCACAGGTGAGGACTGAGGCTCAAGCTGCGGTGACCTGCCCAGCTTGCAGCAGAGTGACTGGGCCCTGCTGCCCGGCCACGCTGGGAGCATCCTTCCTGCGGAGCAGTGGTCAGGTCCTCACCTGCACCCCTCGCGCCTCCAAGTGCTGGATCAGACTTTTCCTCATGATGGCCCTGAGATGCAGGGGAGGGGGGGGATGAGTGGGGGACAGAGGAGCAGGGCAGCAGCGGGTCCCTCTGGGGCACCCCCAGCCTTCTCGCCCACCTCACCATTTCGTAACCACGGCCGCCAGCCGGTTCAGTCCAGAGCAGGAGAAGGGGAAGTAGGTCCTGTGGAGGGAAGGTGGTGGGGGTCAGCCCTGTGGGCTCCCTGTCGTGAAGGCGGGGTGAGGGTGGCAGTGGCCCTCTGGCCAAGGGCCTAACTCTCCTGTCCTTCAGTGGTATCCACTCTGACACCTCGGGATCCGGGGTGTGAGCACGGCCCTCCTCTCATCATCTTCGGACAAGGAGACCGAGTCAGAGAGAGCTGGGGGACTCGCTAGGACTCACAGACAAACCTGAGGTGGGGCTGGGGCCGGGGCCAAGGGGCAGCTCTTTCCAAAGCTGCACAACTCCTCCGGAGACCCTTCTGGCTGGGTCCGGCCAGCTTCTTGAGCCCAGACAGTACTTAATGTGTCATTTGCTTGTCCATAATAATCCCACTCCAGGGCTGACTCTGGATGCACTTTTTAGTGTTCCAGGGCAGGCTCTGGAGTCAGATCTAGGCCAAACCTGGGCTCTGTAGTGGGCTGTGTGACCCTGGGCAAATGACAGAACCTCTCTGTGCCTCTGATTCTCCATGGATACTCAGGGAGTTATATCTCCTGGAGGGGGTCACTGAAAGTTAAAGGTCAAACATTCAAAAAGATGTGAAAACACTTTGCAAATCCTGTATAAAATGTCACATACACACACGAAGCAGGATCACAAGTTTGAGGTTCGCCAGGCATGGTGGCGCTTGCCTGTAATCCCAGTACCCGGGAGGCTGAAGCAGGAGGATCTTTGCAAGTTCAAGACCAGCCTGGGCTACAAAGTGAGCTCAAGGCCAGCCTGAACTGTGTAGGGAGACCCTGTCTCAGAAAGACAAAAAACAAACAAACAAACAAACCCCAAAACCAAGTCTGAGGTTCACCTGGGCAACGTAGGGAGCCTCTGTCTCAAAATAAAAATAAATAAAAAGGGCCAAGGACGTAGGTCAGTGGTCGAGAGCCCCTAGGTTCAATCCCCAGTACCAAGGGGGAAAGTCATATACACAAACCTTTGTAGCAAGGATTGTGGGGCGACCGGGCGTGGTGGCACACACCTGTAATCCCAGCACTCTGGAGGCTGAGGCAGGAGGATTGTTGCGAGTTTGAGACCAACCTGGGCTACAAAGTGAGCTCAAGGCCAGCCTGAACTGCATAGCAAGACCCTGTCTCAAAAAGACAAAAAAAAAAAAAAAGGATTGTGGGGCTGACTGGGAGCGTCCTTTGGGACAGTGATGACAAACCTTTCTGAGCTTTCAATGATAACAAACAGCCTGCTATGGCACGTGTGCCATCAGGTCACCAGCACTGCATTGGGACAACAGAAGGGGGCAGAGAAGTTGGCAGAAAACAATGGGGCTGTGATCCGCAGAGGGCTGGGGAAGAAGCAGAAGTCCTGATACTCTAACCCTCTATTACTTTGTTTCTCTTTGTATCCAGTCCAGGGAAGCTAGCTTTTTCCAGGTCAGGGAGCAGCTGTAATGATGGAGTCAGACTGTAATTTGTACAGGGCCTAACCTACCCACATGGTCTTATTTACTAGTGTAACTGCACCTGGACGGGAGAAGGCCTTCCATCAGTATTTGGAGTGAATGGAATGAATGAACCCTTTCTCTCTTAAAACCACGCATCAGTATATACCTGCATGTAATTTCAGGGTTTAGTCAGGCATAGTGCTGCACGCCCATAATCCCAGCACTCAGGAGGCTGGGGCAGGAGTTCAAGGCCAGTGTGGGCTACATAATAAGCTCAGTAATTATTATTATTATTATTATTATTATTTTTTTTTTTTTGGTCTTTTTGAGACAGGTTCTCGCTATGCAGTTCAGGCTGGCCTTGAGCTCACTTTGTAGCCCAGGCTGGTCTCGAATTTGGCAACAATCCTCCTGCCTCAGCCTCCCAAGTGCTGGGATTACAGGCATGCGCCACCACGCCCGGCTTCAGTAATTATTATTATTTCAGAGGATCACAGCTCTCTCAGGGTTTGTGTAAGCTGGACAGAAGCACTGTCCTTACAGGACCCTGCAGTGATCTCGGAGGGTGTCCGGGAGCTGAGGAGCTGTGGTTCCTCCTGCAAGTGGGCCCTGGGCAGGGTGGCTCGTGTGGGGCTATTTCTCTGAGGCCTGGTCCCTCCGCTGGTACCTGTTGATGATGGTGGGCAGGAAGCACAAGAAGAACTTCTCAGGGATGCGGACGAACGGCAGCAGCCCCAGGTAATAGAGCAGCAGCACCCAGAATGATCGGGGTATTGTGAAGGACAGCGGCATCTCTGGGTTCTGGGGAGACAAGGGGAGAAGTAGAGGGGGTCCAACGGCTCCTGGGGAAGCAGCGAGGAGGCAGTGGCGGCAGGGCAACATGCTGGACTTTCGAGAGGCGCGATGATGACAGGCCGAAGCCACACCTCATCACCAGCACCGTCCCAGCGCTCTCCAATCCTGTCCTTGGAGACTGTGCTCTAGCGTAGGAGCCTGGGGAGGGGGGCTCTGGGCCTGGAGGGCCAGGGACTCACAGCGGCCTTGCACTTCTTCATGACTGAGCTCTTCTCTGAGGCCCAGATGGTGATCTGGCTGCGATCGAATTGCCTCACCAAGCCTGCTATCTAAGAGGAGGAGAGAGAGGCTTGGAGCCAGGCCTCCCGGCTCCCAGCCAAGCCCACCCTGCCTGCAGCATCACCTTGTGAATAAGCTCCTCATTGTTCGACTTGACCTCCACACTCATGGGCATCTGCGGGAATCTCTGGAACAGGTCCTCCAGGCGCACCATGTGCCGGTCTGACCCGCGGGCAAAGTGGCCTGGGAGTGGGGCCGTGGGAGGTGGGCATCAGAGGACTTGTGGGGTGGGAGTGTAAGAGGGTGGCTCTGGCTTGGTACAGGCTCGCAGGCCTCTCTCACCTGGTGAGAAGTAAACCTCCAGCTCCTCCTTGTACAGGGGCAGCTCCTGGGAATGAAGCAGAGCGTGTTACCAGCGGGCACTCAGGCAGGTGTAACAGCGGGCACGGGGCAGTGCTGGTAAGGCCTACCTCGAAGTCCAGGCTGCCCACATCCCTATTCAGCCCTGACTGGCGGGACAGGTTCTCGTCGTGTGACACCACTACCACGCCGTCCCGGGTCAGCTGGCAGTCCAGTTCCAGGAGCTCAGCTCTTTGAGCCATGGAGCTGTGGGAACAAAGGTCAGTAGTCGGGGGCAGGGCACAGGGGTGGGCTGGAGCGGGACCACGGGGCAGAGTCGTGGTGGGATGTGCGTGCTTACCTCCCACCTCCAAGCACTCTAGACACCCGGGCTGGGAAGCGAGTGGCGCCCCTGGGTGTCTGCAGTGCACAATGGCACAACCTTACATGGGAACGTGGCCAAGGTAGGCACACTCACTTCATTATGGCCTCCATGGTGTTCTCCAGCCGCTCTCCAGACCCTGTGCGGGGCAGTCGGGCAGGTCCCTGTTATCACCTACCCTCCTTCTTGGGGCCTCCCTGGGCCTCGGCCCTCACCTTCAGGCAGCTCACGCAGAATGGTCTCTCCTTCCCATGCCTTCCCTGCCTGCCCGGCTCTCCTCCTACTAGGTCCTGGCCTTGCTTCTAGCACTCTGCCCTGGGGCCTACCCCCCAGGGTGGCCCACTCTGGCCTCACTCCACCCCAAAGAGGCCACTTGTCCCTTGCCCCCTGCCCAGCTTACCTCCCCGATGGGCTGCCAGGTGGGGACGGAAGGCTGGAGTCCAGGGCGTATGCAGCAGGCGCGGCCGGCGCAGGAAGAAGATGGAGAGTAGGACATAGCTTCCCAGAGCAGGCAGGGCATAGCAGAGCAGGGAGCTCATGGCACGCTCCCTATCCGGGCTTCTGTGCTATAAGCACGCGTCCCAGTGGACTGCACAGCCTTGCCGCTGCCGGCCCAGCCGGTGTAGGCCGGCTCCGCCACTGGCTGGTGCCACGCCCCCGGGACTTGCTGAGCCTGCTACTATGCCGCTGGCCTGTGGCCAGGCTGCAAGGCTCGGCTGTGGCAGAGGCAGGCATCGAGGCAGGCAGCTCTGACCGTCCCGTTCTCTGACATTTCAGAGACCCAGCACCCTGTGGCCACACTGGTGTGGGGGTACAATGCCCCTCCTCACTGGATCTTCCCCTTCCCACGGGTGCTGTGGCCAGCACAGCACATGGCTACATGGCACACCCCGTGCCATCTCCAAGGAATCTGGGGGTGTGTGGGGTGGCCTTGAGTCACCCCTGAATCACCCCACTCAACCAAACACGAAGTCAGAGAAGAAGGGCACAGTGCCTAAGGGGAAAACTGACCCCATTCCTTCCCGGAGCCCGAGCTCCTTACATCCCATCCTCAACCCTGTCCAGCCAGAGCCAAAGGTCACCAGGGTCACGTGAAGCCACCCCTGGGAAGCAGCTGGGCTAGAGAGGTCAGTCCTCAAACCAGCACTGGTCAGGGCGGCATCGGCACACACAGACAGAGCCAGGTCATCCGTATACGTATCTCTATATTTATATATTAGATACAGGCACAGGAAGCGGGCAAGGGCGCTGGGCTCTCCGCAGGCCCCCACGCCATTTCCGCTCACCCACACACAGAAGCAGCGAGAGCATTAAATGTGGCAGCTTGCGGGAGGGAGGCGAGTTTCCGCCAGGACCGGCTCCTCAGGGATACTAGCCCTTGAGACTTAGGAACGTTCCTTCAAGGAAAACAGGGTGGGGTTCCAGTGAGGTGAGTGGGGCAGGGCTCGCCCTGAGTCTCTCCTCAGACTCTGAGTCCCCAAGGTAGGTCCTGGGGCAGCAGGAGCCCTTCCACTCCAGAAAAGTCTACCAGAGGCGGGGCCAGCTGGGGAAGATGAAGGCAGAGCAGCAGAGAGAGATTTGCTCTGGGCCACCTGAGCTTTTCAAGCTCCAGGGCAAGGTCAGGGTAGGAGGAAGCCTTGGCCTGCCCGTCGCAGGAGAGCTCAGCGAAGTGGGAGAAGGAGCCAGGCCCACCCTCAGCCCTGGCCGGGGCTGCACACAGTGTCCACTTTCTAACAGTCCAGCAGGGGGAGGGGCAGGCAGGAGCCGGGCCCTAAAGGAAGAAGCAGGCAGGAAAGAACTGTTAGTGCCGGAGAGGACACCATAGACCCGGGCGCCTCTCACTTCACCCTCACGGCTGGGCGGGAAGCCTTCAGGTTCCTGATCTGCAGATGCGCTCACAGGTACTACTGTGGCGGGAACTGAGGCACGGCTTGGAAACCTCCTGCAACACTGCCGAGGGCGCTGTCAGTGCTTACTCTCACTAGCGAACAGTCTGCAGAGACAGACGCAGGGAAGCGACGCGTCCCGCACAGTATCACAAAGCTAAGGGGCAGAGCTTGGGTCTTGTGCTCAGGTGTGTCTGCCTTCCTTGCGCCAGGCCACAGCTGGCCGAAGACAGGAAGAGGTGGGAGGAAGGAAGGTGTGGAGCACGCTCAGAGCAGCCCCAGGAGCTCAGGTATGTAAATGCTAACCTGAGCAGTAGGTGGAAGCCTGGCATCTGGGTGATCTGGGTGCTGCAGGGCTCCTTCCAAAACAAATAATGGCCTCACCTTCCTCTGCCCACACTGGAGAGCCAAAGTCTGGCTCGGTGCCTCAGAGCGAGGTGGGGGGCCCTCATAACCTCTGGGGTCTGCAGTGGTTGCTGGGGTGGGGGGATGTAAGGTGCGCACAAGTGAGACAGAAGGGGTTGGAGGGCAGGGCAGCTGGAAGGACTGAGGGTCACGAGTCTGTTCCCACCACACGGCCTGTGGGCGCGAGGCACCCTCACACCTGAGACTGTTCTGAGGTACACTGGACCCCGTGCTACCAGGGTGAGCCTGCGCATGGGTAGTGAGGATACTCACCAGGCCCCAGGAGGCAGGGACATCTGTCCTGGTTAGGGGGCATCTGGCACCCCTGGCTGAAAGTGGGCTGTCTCTTGGAAGATAAGCTCTTTCAGCCGCTCCTTGGGTAGATCATCCAGCTCCATGTCGAAAGTGAAGGGCTCCTCAGCCACTGGCTGGGGTGGCAAAGACAGTAAGGCCTGGCCAGGTATTGGGGGTGCCCATTCCCCCACCTGCCCTCTGCTGGTGGCTGCCCCACCTCATCTGTGGGGTCATAGTACTGATCCAGGTAGGGGTGAGCCAGCGCCTGCTCCACTGTAATCCTCTTGTTGGGATTGAAGGTTAACATCCGGTCTAGAAGGTCAAGAGCTAAGGAGGGGTAGGAGGCAGGGTCAAAGGGAAGGCCAGGAGCTCCAAGCAGCATCATTCCGCCCTGGGCCCAGGGGGCCTGCCTGCCTACTAAGACAGCTGGTGGCATCATGCAGCCTTCTCCACACCCAGGGTATAGCCCACCTTGGCCCCTAAGTCACTCTCACCGTTTAAGTCTGACTTGGGAAATAGCTTGATCCAGGCCACCTTGGTCTTAGAGGGCAGAGACTGTAGGTAGTTTCGGGCCTTCGTGTTAATGATACAATTCAGATCCTCCTGAGATGGGGAGCCCAGGATACCTGGGGGTTAGATGAGTGTCTTGGTGAGAAATCACCTTGGCCTGGGAACAGAACAGGGAAAGGGGCACGGAAAACAGACCCAGCCCACCCATTGCCGTGACCCCCCCTTAACCTCCAGCTGAGAGTACAGTGAAGGGGAATGAGCCGGGACTCAGCAGCCCTAGGTTCAAATCCTGGCTCTAGCACCTCCATAGGTGTGGGACTTAGCTTTATTTTTCCCATCTATCAAATGGGGATACACAGCTCACTGAAATAACATGAGATGCTGAAGGGGCTCCACACCCTTCATTTGAGAAATCCCTGAGAAATCTCACCTCGCATAAGCAAATCCCTTTCCCTTCCCAGAGCCAGGCCTCCCTCACCCAGAATGTGGTTGAGCTGGTCCAGGTAGTGCTTTCCAGGGAAGATGGGCCGGTTGGAGAGCATCTCAGCCAGAATGCAGCCCACAGACCAGATGTCGATGGACTTGGTGTAGCCCTGGAAAAGAGGGGAAACGGTGGGGTCCCTGGCTGGCCTCAACAGGTTCTAATTTGCATTCAATACAATGAAGAATATACAGCACAGAAGTCTGGAAGAACCAACGTTCTTTCTTTCAGAGCCCAAAGACAGGTAGAGGTCCTGTGTCACACAGGCCAACACCCGGGGCAGAGACAGTTCCATGCCTACCGTGGTGGCAAGTTCTCCTACCTTAGAGTTAAGCATGATCTCTGGAGCCCGGTACCAGCGTGTGGCCACATATTCAGTCAGAAAGCCAGTGTGGTCGTGCTCAGGATCAGCAATCCGGGCCAGGCCGAAATCACAGATCTGGAATGAAATGCAGGTCGCTAAGCTTGGTGCACAAGGCCTCCACAGCCCAAGTGGTCATACTGCCACACCGCTGCTAGGCTGTTCCCCTTGCTGCCATGCTCTATGGCTTCTACTGGTCACCTGGCAACCCTAGGTCCAAGGAAGGGAAGGGCAGCCACCCAGCCTTCTGACCTTAAGGTCGCAGGTGGTGTTGATGAGCAGGTTGGAGGGCTTTAGATCCCGGTGGAGCACATTGGCTGAGTGGATATATTTGAGACCCCGAAGGATCTGGTAGAGGAAGTAGCAGATGTGATCGTTGCTCAGTTGCTGGCTTTTGAGCAACTTGTATAGGTCTGTCTCCATCAGGTCCTGCACAATGTAGCTGAGGAGGGCTCCAGAGACCCCCAGGTCGGGGGTAGCAGGAGGCACTCGGTTAAGGAAAGGAGGGTCTGGCAACTGGGGCCCTTAGTTAGCCCTTTGGACTTGAGAGATGGGGAGGGCTTAGAGCCCCTGTTGCAGCTCAGCTGGTGACCCTGAGTAAGGAACTTCCAGTCTGTGGCCTCAGTTTCCCTTCCAGTGATATGAGGAGGCTAATAAATTTCAAGGCAAGAGAACTTCAGCATTAAGAGCAGCAGCTTCAAAGTTCACCACTGATGTTCCAAATCTCCACTCTGCTATTCACTGGCTTTATGATCTTAACCTGTTCATGCCTCGGTTTCCTTATCTGGCAAGGAGGGGAAGTAACCGTTCTTCAGGAGATGAGATGACCTACGTGGAGCAGTCAGCCCAGTGCTTGGCGTGTTGTAAATGTTCTGCAAACACGAACTTCTACTGCTAAGATAAAGGCCTGAGCCACCTGGATGTTGAGGGGGTTAAGTGAGATAATGTATGAATACCATCTGGCACGCATTAAATGTTTGCTTAAAAATAAATGCCTGAAAAAAAAAAAAATGCCTGCCTTATGGGAATGATCTGTGCCAGAAAAATGAGACACTCACAACAGCGTGTTCCTACTCGAAGAAGAGCGCCTGGCCATACATCAGAAGGTAGAGGAGCAACTGTCCTCTCAATACTTGAAGATAAAACAAACGTTAAACATAAATAAATGCCGTGTTGTTTGTCTCTGGAAGTGTAAGTCAGACCTTGCTGCTTTATGGATGAGGTCCAGAGATGCAGTGCCTTGCTTAGGGTAACACAGCAGGCTGAGGTGAAATGTGGTGATTCTGTGTCCTCCGTCTATGGTGGGGACGGAGGGTACCCACAGAACAAATCCTCACTTTGGGGTGGAGGTCTGGAACTGGCAGGGGTGAGTACTGAAAAGGTGGTGGGTATTATACAGGCAGGAAGAAGACAAAAACGAACTAGGCAAGCAATATCAGGGAGGGCAACAAAGGCTGGGCTGCCCTCCCCGGGCAAGGTGCGAGTCCACAGGTGATGAGGGTGGGGCTCTGAGCAGGAAGCTCTGAGAAAGGACAAGTTCCCACCTGGGGGAGGGGAGGAGGCAGCAACAGAGACACCTGATTTCAGACTTTCTATGATTTGTGCCAAAGGTAGCAAAAGCCCTTGGCATGCGCAGTGCCTGACACATACGAAGCCTACAAGAAAAGGCAGTTCTCTTTCTCTTGCCTTCTTTCTAGTCTGGGGTCCCAGCAAGGAAGGAGTCATCCCTTTGTTAAGCAAGAACTGACTGTGGGCAGAGGCTGGGTCATGTCACGGAACTGCAGATGTCAGAGGACAAAGCTCCCATAGAACCCATCTTGTCCAGCCTTCCTCCTCCCCGCTCCGCTAGGACACAGGGCAGAGAAGGACCTGTCCAAGGCCGCCCTGGCTGTGGTGAGCCAGGGTGCACCCAAGGTCTCTCAGCCCTCTCACACACTGTAAAGTTCCTTTTGCTAGCTTTGTTTAGGAGGGTGGTGGGGAAGACGGAAACAGCAAGAAGGTCAACATTCCCCAGTCCACCTCTGAAGCTACGCCTGGCCAGCCAGCTGGCAAGATGAAGGATACACATCTTTCATGGCTTCCAGGGTGGGTGCCCGAAGAATATCTCGGATGCCAATGACATTCTCATGGCGGAATCGCAGCAAGATCTGGATCTCCCGTAGAGTGCGCTGGCAGTAGGTCTGATGCTCAAAGGGGCTGATCTTCTTTATAGCCACGCGAGTCTTTCGCACGTGGTCATAAGCTGAGCTGCAGGGCCAAAGAGATGTTGCTGGCCTTACAAAGGGGGGATCCAGGCTTGGCGGCCCCACCCCGGGCTTGGCAGTGAGAAATGGGAGCAGGAGAGGGCTCTGGCCAACTCATAAACAATGCTGGTTCCTTCCTGCTGTGAAGGCCTGGGATCTCCAGGGAGAAAGCTGGGGACCGGCCAGGCGGCCTTTTCGTGACTTTACAAACAGAGGAAGAGACCGACTGCTCACCGACTTCCCTTCTCCTCGACCCCCTTTCTTTCCAGGGGCCACGTCCCTCCCCTCCTTTCCCAAGTTGGGTCCCTCAACCCAAGACAGGTCCAGGGGGTAGGAAAGAGTACACGGCAGAGGCGAGGTAAACACAGTGAGAAGGAAGCATTCCTGGGGCATCAGAGAGGAGGGGAAAGAAGGGGTGGGTCTCAGGACAAGGCACCTGGGCAGCAGAGCTGTTGCTATAGCAACAAAGGCCCAGGCCACACAGTGAGGAGAAAACCCACAGACCCCTACCAGAAGATGCAGGGAGATGTCCCGACCCCCTCATCCTGCACTGGGACCTGGCAGAGCAGAAGGGGAGGGGTGCAAAGCCTGGCCCCGCCCTGAGCGCCACTCTTCTCTCCCAAGCCCCCCCCCCCCCGGCTGAGCCTCACTGGGGGGATCCAAGGCATCCTCTGCCCCAGCAAGGGCCCTTCACTCCCCCTCCACCAACATGACTCCTGTTCTGAGCTTCACGCTCTCTCTAGGGTCCCTAAAACAGGTCCCCGACACCCACTTGGATGCCCCTCCTTTCACATCGTAAGCAGCGGCTCAAAGCCACCAAGCCCCCCTCCCCGGAGGAGGCAGGCAGCGCCCCCGCCCCGCCAAGCACCCCAAGGCCCAGCCCGGGGCACTCCTCGAGCGTCCGGAGCCCACAGCCTCTTCGGGCCCTCGGGGTCGCCCGGCCGTCGCGCTCACACTGACCTCCCCGCGCCCCCTCCCCGGAACGCCCCCTCACCTGACCATGCCGTAGGCGCCCTCGCCGATGTACTGCAGCTGCGTGTAGCGCGGGCCCACGTCGAACGGCTGGCCCTTCACGACCTCCACTTCCCCCGGGACCCCCGGGTCGACCCCACCGGCTCCCCGGGGCTCCCCGCCCCCGCCCCCCTG